ACAAACTTTTATAAATTATTTTGCCATTTAGACATTTTAAGCCATGAATTTCAAGTAAATTAATGATTTTTATGCTTTATGACCAAATATTTATTTATATTTATTTATAAGTCAAATATGTAACGTGTGGCCCACTTTGAGGGAATAAAGTATTTTGCTTGCCATTTAAAAAGTACTTGACGGATTTTAATGAAATAAATTTTATTTTATAGATAAAATTAGGGAAATTTATGTTACATAAATATAGATTTCTATCCCCTCACATATTATATAAATAACGTCATTAAAGTAATTTAAGCATTTTTAAATTTATAAATTTGCTAAACAGCAAAAAACTATATGTATTTTTAAAAATTTGATTACCTTTTTTTGATGGAAACTTAAAATGACAATAAAAGTTATAGCACTTTTCTTAAAAATTACTATAAATTTACTGTTATTCTTATGGGAATATTGTAAAACATTATTTATTATCAAAATATTTCGCTAAAATGCACAGATTTATGAAATGTTTATGACTGATCACGAGTGACAAGTATTCTTTAGTATCTCATTGAAGACAGAATTAAAATCCTGTGACCCATTCAAAAGTTGTTTAGGTTTAAGTCTGAGAAAATATTTTTGAACTAGTGCATGGAGAATCATATTGGCCTTGATTTATTTATTTAATATAAATTTCCCTAATTTTATCTATAAATTAAAATTTATTTCATTAAATCCGTCAAGTACTTTTTAAATGGCAAGCAAAATACTTTATTCCCTCAAAGTGGGCCACACGTTATTTATATGTAAAATAAAACTTTGTTAAAATGACCCTTATTATGTAATTCGTTTGCCCCCAAAGTCCCGAACATATATCTTTAACCGATAAATATATTTAAAAACATATTCTGAACAGCTTTACTTATCATACAAATTACACACCAAATTAAATTAAATTTATATCAGGTAAGAGAATCTTAGCATAATGTTTAGACCTCCATGCACAAATAATGAAAAACAATAAATCTATAGGTTTAGCAAAATATGGGAGTAGCTAATAGTTGTATAAAAATCCTGTAACGTTACACAAATATAACAAAACATATTCTGAACAGCTTTACTTATCATACAAATTACACACCAAATTAAATTAAATTTATATCAGGTAAGAGAATCTTAGCATAATGTTTAGACCTCCATGCACAAATAATGAAAAACAATAAAATAAAGTATTTTGCTTGCCATTTAAAAAGTACTTGACGGATTTAATGAAATAAATTTTAATTTATAGATAAAATTAGGGAAATTTATATTAAATAAATAAATCAAGGCCAATATGATTCTCCATGCACAAATAATGAAAAACAATAAATCTATAGGTTTAGCAAAATATGGGAGTAGCTAATAGTTGTATAAAAATCCTGTAACGTTACACAAATATAACGTAATTATTCTGATTATTCTTTATATTATGTAATTATTATAATTGCTAATTTATGAAATATGTTTTTACTTTTAAAGTATTTGGAATAAAACTATGTAATAGGAATGTCATGTTTTATTATTAATGTTCAAATTACTAAAAAGTACTTAAAGAATATACAATTATAAGGTAAAGAAGTAATTATGACATCGTCTTTGATATCCGCGTAAACATAGTTTAACCCATTGTTTGAAACACTATTTGTGTCAATGCATGGCTGTATCGCAGTTACGATTCAAATAATTGATTGTATTTCTGTGTCTCCTTTGAGACGACTTATATAGTCCTGAGTTTTGTGAATAATTTCTCAGCAAATAATTAGTGTTTAAATAAATAATTGGTTTAATTGTTGTCCGCTTTTCATTAAATATTTTTGTTGTAAATTTTATAACCAATTGTGACAAAAAGTTTGTAAACATAATAAATGAAAATCCAAACCATAGGCCCAGAAGTGATCCGATAAATACCACGTACTCTTCAAATGACATTTTCAATGATATCTCGTACACCGTATCGGGAGTTGACCGTACTGTGAAATATATCCTTAATATGTCTTTAACTCTATGTATATAATCTGTAGTACAATCAAAGGTATAGTAATGTTGTGTACACTCTATTCTGTCACTACATTCACGATCGCAATAGTTATTAATATTAGGAATATTCCCGAACCGTACCGTTTGATTAACTCTATCGATATCGCGATATATTATGTAATCACTCGGAAATGTAGTGTTTTGTCGCCAATATTCTCGAATTTTGCATTTAGTTAAGCATTCATTTCGGGTTTCATTTACGAAACACTTTTTACCATAAATATTGTGTTTCATTATTATTGTAGTCATTTTGTGTTTTAATGTGCAAAGATTAAAACCACGAGTGTTTATGGCTAAATGTTCGTTAGCTAAATATTGCCGATGTATTGTCCGCCGGGAATGTAAATACAGTTTAACTCGAATGGTATTACCAATCGATTCATTCTTAAATGTCAATAACATGTAATCGTTTAATGAATCACTCCTGTTATATATATACCGGGTGTCCGACTCGTGAGTCCACTGCGAGAGTTCAGTCCAACAAACTTTAGCCATATCATCAAAATAGCCCAATCGGTACGAAACGATTGTATCGCACGGTTGCTTCAACGTGTTTAATTTATTTGAAATGGCACAATTATAAAAATGATCAGGTTGAGTTAGCGATGAAAGCATTGCATTAATTGATTGATTTTTCCATCTCTCATAATCAAATGAAAACTGTTTTGTGGGATGAAAGTAGTGTTTACGTATTTTTTCACCTAGAAGATTTGAAATATCCATACATATGGTAACAGCCGGTGGGCTGAATATTGTCTCCGTTTTTAAGCTTAGGGTTGTTGTGGTTTCGTATGAGAAGTATATTAAACTGATTTTATAGGTTTGGTATAGAAATCCAGACAATAGTAATGTTTTTAATAACAAATCTTTTAGTAATAGTTTGAAAAACATTTTATTAATTTTAAAATAAATTATTTTCATTGTTAAATATATTATATAATTATAATATTGGAGACAATTTTCTATATGATGTTCTCTAATATAATATAATGTCAAATCTATTACTTGATTTGTTATATTTATTTTGTGTTTACGAGTAAACAAAAAGTTAATTTTATTAATATATGATAATGTTTGATTTGCATAATTAAATTTATATTAAATAATAAAAATAAGATTATTTCTTATTATTGTAGTAATACTGTACATATTATCAATAAGTTACTACTGTATTTATGTAAATAAATCAGTCTATTTAATCAATAAATTTCTTAATAAATTAAATTATTATGTATCTTGGCATTATAACTTGTAATATTGTCAATATTATATTGATTACATTTTTAATAATAAAACTTATTATTATTTGATTATACAATATTGATCTTTTTATAATTGCACAAAGTGCTAAAGTAATACACTTATCTATTATTTGTACCATTTATCAGAGGATTTTGATAAATTTTGCAAAAATAAATTAATTTACAAATTAATTTAACACTTTTACAAAATAATAATTAAACAGTATTATATTATGGGTCGTAAAGAGAGGTTTGGTATCCATTCCCGCAAAGTTTTGTCAAATAAACACTACAAGTGTTGGCAAAAAAAATTTAAAGGTTAAAAATTACAAAATAATAGCGGCCAAAACAGACACTCACTTCTTTGATTCACAGCGTAAGCCATGTTTAACCGGATGTCATCGATAGTCTGTCCGACAAATAGTCAATAGTTGCCAATAATAATAGTCAATATACTGTACAATATAATTTGGACAATATATCTGATTATATAGAAATAATAATTTTAGTTTTGTTGTACTGTAGACATTTTCAATTATGTAAACGACAGCTCAATAATAAAACATGTAAATAAATAGGGCTCGTTAAAAAAAGCTGTTAAAAATGTTTTAATTGTTGCATTTGTTAAAACCACAAGACGTTGATGAACATCACTCTTAAGTTTTTAAATTGTTGCATTTTAACAATTTTTTAACAAGCTCTAATAATAAATTAAATTATATAAAATAATGTGCACAACAATAATCTCGAAACTACAATAGGTTTTAAATTTAAACTGTATATCAAATAAAACTGTTTTTTGTTTTATAAATAAAATAATTAATTAAAACATAAAATGACAACAAATGCTATAATTAAGACCACATCGGGAACAGTGATGGGTCGGGTGGTGTCGGCGCTCAACACAAAACTATACCAATTTCAAGCCATACCATACGCTGAGCCACCGGTCGGTGCTTTACGTTTCGCAAAACCCAAACCTATTATTAAGCCCAGAGATGTTAGTTATAGTAATGTTAAACAAAACAAATGATCAAATTCTTAAATAAACTATATTTTAGGGTATAATAGACGCCACACAACCGGGAAAAAGTAGTTTTCAATTGAAAATACCATATCAATCAACCGTGGTCAATCAAAGTGAGGACAGTCTTGTGCTAAACATATGGACACCAACTCTACCCACAGATAACACAACCAATCAGTTACTCAAACCGGTTATGTTTTGGATATATGGCGGCGCCTTTAGTTATGGCACAATTAATTCTTACAACGGCCGGGCATTGGCCGCACACGACGTGGTATTTGTGGCCCCGAACTATAGGTTGGGATTGTTTGGGAACCTCTACGGAGATCGGGAGGACGCGCCCGGAAATGTGGGCCTTTTTGATCAACTATTGGCCCTGAAATGGGTATTAATTGACCGCTTATTGTAGTTACAGTTTATTGTATTTATTATTAAAACAACAATAGGTTAGAGAAAACATACATTTGTTTGGCGGAGATAGGGATCAGATCACCATTTTTGGTGAGAGCGCCGGCAGTAAGTCTGTTTCGGCGCACATACTCTCCCCGCTATCCAAAGGGTTATTCAAGAGGGCTATTATGCAAAGCGGGGCAATGATGTCCTACAGGGACAGGGATTTGTTGAGCAAATCCAAGGCTCTGTCCGATGGGAAACGTTTGGCCAAAGAACTGGGTTGTAGTGAACGAAACGATTGGATACAGTATTTACGGACAGTTGACGTCAAACGCCTGTTGGAAAAGACCAAACCGTTATACTTACCGGTGTTTGGGACACAGTTTTTACCACTTTCAGCGCAAAAAGCATTTGAAAATAAACTGTTTAATTCTGGTCTAAATTGTTATAAATTTAGAGTACAGTAAATAAAAATTAATATTTAATATTTATTTTACAGATATTGATTTAATAGCGGGCATTAACAGCATGGAGGGCTCAAATTTGGCCAGGTGGTTTGTAATACCGGACAAACCGGTATTTACTTTGGATGACTTTGTGTCGGGAGTAAAAGTGTC